AATAAAGTATAATCAGTATGTTCATTCTGTATCGGTGCTTTTATTCTTATTAAAAAGATCAAAAGTACAGAATGAACATAATAATTATATTATATAAAAACTAATAAAAATTCTGTATACATAGGAAAAATAGTAAATGTTAAGTTATAAATTGGATAATAAAAAATTATATTTGTAATTATAAAATGTCTTTATTTTAATATCAATAATATATACATGTAATATTTATTATTATATTTATTATTAACAGCCGCAATTTTTTAGTAATATATAAAAAATCAATTTTTAAAAATAATACTATATAGAAATATTATAATATGTAAATATTTCTTATTATGTAAGAACAAAGTTTACACTTTTCTGATATATCTTTTTTGCTTTTTTTTATAATGATCAATAGCTTGCTTAAATATAATGTTGCTAGCTACGTATCGAGTGTCACGACCAGATAAAATTCTGTTCACAGATTTACAAAATGTATATAGAAATAATTTAATAATTACTTGTATAACAGCATGTTTTAATTCTTCTTTATGTTTGATGCATTTAACGAAAAACTTTAGTTTTTCGTATACACACGCTCACGTAATAAAACAGAAACATTTCTGCAAAAACATAATAAAGAAATGTTTTCATTTAAAACAGAATCAGCTTCAATAAATATATCATTCAAAAAGCACATAGATGGATACGTTAGAAATGGTTTTTCTTTAACATATTCTGCATTAATTAATTGTATATATTCTGTATGTGATGTGTCCGTACTTAAAAGACTTTCTTTACATGCTATACAATTTTTAAATTTTTTCATTGACAAAACTTTTTTTACAACCCAGCCAGCAACGTATGATCTATTGCTTTCTTGTAGTGGATATGCTTTATGGATATTTTCTATATTTTTAACTTGAGATGATTCTGTTAAAAAATCTTCTTCTACCGTTTATTCTGTAATATTAGTTGCACAAGTAGCATTTTTTACAAACTGTTTTAAAGTAAATAATAAATCGCCGTCATTTATGTTTTCGCAATTGGATCCCACAGATCTTCTTGCAGTAAAATTATTAATTAATAATGTTTTGTATGACCCGCAAAATTGACTGCACGACGGATTTATATTTCTGCGTCCATGACTACGAATTAAACCAAAAAAATTTTCTAAAAAATCCTGATTGATATTTCTTGTTTTTAAAAATCTTATTCCTTTACTTTCAACAATTTTCCATATTTTTTTAAAACCACGCAAAGTAAATATCCAATTTTTTAACGATGGTATACATTTAACTGGTCGTTTAGTTTTCGGATCGACATATCGCATATTAGATAATCGTTTAATGGCATATGGCCAAAAGTTATGATGCTTACTATTTTTCGTTACTGCTACGCGTAGAGGAGTTTGTGGATGCAAGGTATGTGCGTTAACGGAATCAAAAATTTTATTAAAAAGATCCAATGCCACTGCTGTGTCATATCCTGCCTTGTTTGGTATTTGTAACTGACCAATCTGTGATTCAATAAAGCCTCCTAAAAAATGAATAAATTACATGCAATTAGATTATATGCAATTTATATTTATTTGTTATTGTTACAATTATTTATTATATGCAAATTAGTAAATTTAAAAAAGTGATAGTAAGATTGATTAAATTACCTTTAATTTTGCTATTATATTCTAGATATCCCGATAATCTTGCACTGCAAACTTGAGCAGCACATTTTACTTTCATTTTTTTTATTTTTGATTTAATGACATGTTGGTCTGTTAATTTTGGTACTTGGCGATTTAACGTATTTGTATACATATCCATTTTATATGCCATTTCAATAATGTCCCATGACGCAAACTGTCGTTCGTTTTCTTTCAATATGGTGGTATCAAGTTCTAAATTTTTAAATAATAAATTGTTACGGATTCCTTTTAAAAGATGTGGTGGATCAAAAATAGGTACAATGTTTTGCCCAAAAAGTTGAATAATATCTTCTGAAATATGGAATAAAAATTTTTTTTATGTATTTTAATTATGTTTTTTAAATTATTTTATGTATTTTATACTTACAATATTCTTGACCTGTTCTTATACATTCGCGTTTTGAATCCTGAAGAAGACTGTTAATACATGTCATGTTCGGTCCGCCTTGGTCACATACAGTTGCAATAATTATCAAGCCAGCTTTAGTTAATTCTTTTATGATTTCTTTTATACATCTCAACAATTGTGCAGATTTGGTTTGACTTTTACAAAAGCCATAATACAATGGAATTTTCCAACCTTTCAAAATTCTTCGTATCATAAATACCAATACATGATCTGCTATGAGAGATGTACGTCTATGTCCCCAATCTTCGAAACCAATGATTTTATCATTTAACTGATCGTATTACAAATTGGCTTCTAATGACATCTCATCCCACATTAACACGCATAATTTGTCATGATCGTTATTTATTTGTGCCATATGCTGCTGCAGATGCTCAAAAATAAATTTGTTGATTCCTGGTTGTAATGAGATTGTTTGTAACAAACATTTGAGAGTTTTAAGACTTGGCAGTATAAATAATTTTGATAGCAGCTTGTAACAAGAACCAGATTGTTTATATAGTGATAATGCTAAAATTTTTTCATCGAGCGTAAATCTTCTTTCCTATATGTGGAGAATAATGTATATTAAATATAAAATAAAATAATTATTTTATTCATGATATTTTGTATAATGTATTTATACAACAATATTGCATAAACAACATTATTATGTGCATCAATTTGGAGGCAGCATCCAGTCACGCAACAATAAACTTGTATAAAATCCTTCTTCTTTCTTGAATATAAAACATATGTTCATGTAAAAGTAATATTAAGTACAATAATATACGAGCGATTTGAAAACCGCTATGGTAAAATAATCTCAATGTATTCATACCTGTGTACGTCATAAAAAAATGTATCAAGAGACACGTAGTGTCTCGCGTCAAGTACACGCAAAGCGATTCTATTTACTCGATTTCTTCAGCATCGCAGAAAAATAACCGAAACTACTCGTGTGTACGAAATACTATGCTCGTGACGCTTGTGTGATTATTCAGCCATATTTCCTAATGTGACGTCACAGAAACGACATAGCCGCCATCTGGACGAATATACTAACATGAACTAACACGGTTTACTTTTTCATATAGAAGTTTCCCCCCCTGGATAGAATAAGAAAAGGGAGTATACTTGTGTGCACTCGGGTGACGTTTTCGAACGCAGCCCTGATAAGTCGAAAGCGTTTGCTTTCATCATTGAAAACTGCGTGCAGCTTCTATTGAGTTTAACGGGCGTTTACTCTTGTCGTTAGAAGAAACGGCGTAAAGAGCGTTAAATGTTAAAGTCTGCTTTTCGCCTCGCAGGAGGTCTGCTTATATATACGCGGCTGGATGTATTTTAAATGCGAGAAAGATACGCCGCCTAGCGGCATTGTTAGAAGAACGTTTGCTGAACGGAGGGAAAACGCTTGTGTTACGGAGTCGGGAAAAGCGTTTCTTGGGCGTCTCCAAGCCGTTTGCGTTAACGCCTTACAAATCGTTCACTGCGCCTCTACAATTCGCCATCGGAAGAGCGTTTGCTGAACGGATTGAAAACGCTTGTCTTACGGCATTGAGAAAAGCGTTTGCTAAATGTTTGAAAAATCTGACAGCAAACTCTCTACACGCAGCGTTTACTGAGCGTTCTCTGAAAAGCGTTGCCTCAGCATTTCAGAACTTTCATGAAACGTTATATACAGCGTTTTATAAGCGTTCTGGAAGCGTTCAAAATCCAACGGCGTTGTGTAAGCGTTCTTATAAAGTTTGAAAACGTATAAACTCTCAAAAAACCCTCATTGAACGGTTGTCAACGCTTTATAAAGCTTCTTAATTTTTGCCAGGCCGGGTATGCGAAACGTGGAAGAATATGATGGAACATGAATATAGGAGAAAGAACAAGATTTTGAATACAAATGAAAAAATGCATTTATTCACGTACGAAAGGGATTACAAAAACAAATTATCAGAAATTTACGCGTATACAACACTAAATGCATTTACCGCCTACTTGGAGCTACCAATCGGTTTTTTTCCGCTTACGGTGAATTGCGCAGCACTACAATCGCGGCCCATTAGAAAGAGAGAGAGAGAATATCGGTTAGTGTAAATTATAAATAATAAATGTACGACGAAGGGGAGAGTATACGCAGTGCACGTGAAATACCGTCGCGTTCAAATTATCGCACTCGATGCCCGATGGTGGTCCGCTCGCCCGAGTCCGTCCGCGGTCGAATTCTTTCACAGACGGATTCCTGGGTTTCGGGACGCGACAAAGTTGAGAAGCTCGTCGCTGTCCTCGCACACGAAGGGCTTCACGTGGTGGCAAGCCACGTCGTGCCATTTGATGCCGTCATTGTAGAAGTTGTTTAAGATGGACAGGCAGGACTCGTCGTTACCCTGCAAATGTGCGAAATAATTAAGCCTCCGATTTTTAATTAAAGTTTCGTCTTCGAAAAGAAGACATACGTTACAATAACGCGTTATGAGCGAGCTTCTCTTTCAAAGTTTTTGCTCTTGTAGTTTGGTATATGTTATCAAAATTACATCAATTTTAAGTTATTTAAAGAAATTATTAAATCAAAAATATCTTAATTTACTTAATCATTGAAAGGAATTCTCACAAATTTAAACTAAAAATAGAGCCTCTTATGTGAGTGTGAATATCCATTAAAATTTATATCTTTTTTTATACAATATTAGAAAGTATAGAAAGCTTTCAAAAAGCAGTGTAAAAATATAGAACTCTGAAACAAAGTATAACTATGTCTTACAAGGGGAAGCCACGTACTTTAGGGGTCACGAATTGAAAAACGTTTTTACATAGTATATATGTATAACTAGTACTCTACCAGAAGAGTATTTGAGCAAAGGGATAGGGCACAACGCTCAATTATTTCCGAGAAAAAAAATGTAAGTGCACAATTACTACGTTGTCGACTCAAGTTCAATTCCTGTTTCTCGCATTTTTTTTTAATTTTTTCATGCAATAACTGTTTATTTGTGTAAAATAAAGTTAATATAACCAACAATTTTTGTTTTCTCTTTATAATTCGCATTTTTGAAAGGCAATTAAAAAAATTTTTGTTTGTTAACTTTATTTTACACACGAATAAATAGATATTGCATGAAAAAATTTAAAAAAAGTGCAAGGGACAGGAATTGCGAACTCGGGTCGATAATCGTGCACTTGCATTTTTTTCTCGAAAATGGCTGAGCGTTGCTTTCCCTTTGCGCCTTATCCCTTTGCTCAAGTATTCTTCTGGTAGAGTACTATACTATGTAAAAACGTTTTTCAATTCGGTGACCCCAAAAGTACGCGGCTTCCCCTTGTTAGTTTTTAATATGTTTCTACAAAATATAAAAGACCAATGTAGATTAACTTCAATCTCGGTTTAACTTACTTTTTATCTTTTTCTAATTGTTAGAATTGTATATAAAATTGTATAAAATTGTAAAAGACCGATGTAGATTAATCTTGGTTTAACTCACTTTTCATATTTTTCTAATTCTAAAAATTAGAAAAAGATAAAAAAATAAGTTAAATTGGACTAATCTATTATACATTAGGAGAAATAGGTATAAGTGCACGATCTTAAATAGCTTTTATACCTATAATTGATAGCGCGAGGTTACGAGAGCAAGACGCCGATAAAAATTACTAAAGGTTACATATATGACAGCGGCGATAAATCCGGAAATGCCAAAGTATATACTTTCACTGTACCCTATACGAGAATATAAATCAGAGTTTCACGGGGTCAGCGCGCCTGAAGGAAAGCGCGCTGCGGAATCGGATGGCGCGTTCAGCGAGATCGCAACACGAGAAACTTCCTTTATTTCTTCAATTTATTAAATCTGCTTCAAACCATCTTATTTATATTTGGCTAAAACGTGCGTGCCCGAGATATTAGAGTGCCCGTTGTATTAGAGTCACATGTAACAATGATATCGAAGTATGTACAGCAGTATAGTATAGACTTGGTCGTACACGGAAAATGCGTTCCATATTATATAAATCCGTTATACGAGATTATATACATATATGGATTATGTATGCATATGGAAACACATATAATAGATGTAAGGTTTTATTATAAAGAATGTAAAATGATTATTAAAGATGTAGCAATAAAATATTTGTTATTTTACTTTAAAACAAACAAATATTAAAATTTTTCCGTTGTGTTGTACGAACCCGTGTTATATGCATGAGAATCTACTGTATTTTGAAGCAAAGTCTATTAACAACACTGTAAAAAATTTTTGTAAAATTTACAACTATTATAGTGGGTAATTTGAGACCCACTATAATAGGTGTAAATTTCCACACATTCTTAATTTGTGTAATTGTAATACAAAATTACTTTTTCCTTCCGTACTGTAATTTTACAAAATTTTTTTACAGTGAAGTAAACTCTACCTGTGCAGCTTCACGGTTGTCTGGCTGCGGTTGACCATATCCTCCAGTGTTGCTCCAGTCTCCGGAGTTACGCTGGGTCGTCGGTCCGATCTTGGCGCCAGAACCGGACCAGAACCATCCGTTAATGTTCTGGGGCTGAAGATCGGGTCGGTCGCAGCCGTTGAAGTTGCACTTACGGCCCGACGTCCAAATGTATCTCACGTTTCCTATAATCAAACGACAACACTGTTGTATTTTGCGTGGCAAAAATTAAAAACTCCTACTTTTATTCAATTAACATTAACCGGGCTTATAATTATAACGTACGCGGCAATGAGATATCTGCTGGGATTAAAAATATATTTTCGGATGATGCAAGAGATTTTTATGTAGACCCGTGGGGGAAGTAATTAAATTTCCCATTGTCTGAATAATGGTGAGGTAAGTTAAATCGTAAGGTTAACGACCTTTCAATCTCTGAATGATAGCTCGCAATGCATTGATTATCTTTACCCGGATGTCCGCATCACTGTGACCGCAATAAGAACTTCGTTCCTTAACTATAAAATTATCCAAAATGTGACAGTAAAATTTAAATGAGAATCGAGGAAACGCGGATAAATAGCTATCATTTTCTTAATAAGGCCGGATGTCTTAATCAAATAATGTCTTATTATCCGAATAATAGCTCGAACAACCTCGTATAAAATGTCACGTCCAACTTGATATTATCATTAAGAAAAAATACCGATTCACGTATCTCTAACCCGTATAATAATACATGATATAATTGGTTTGCGACATTAATCTTTTACGTTTATACACTGAGAAAGAAGTGTTCGGTATTTGCGATTATAATTATAATACATATAGTAAAATAATTAGGTATGGTTGGGATTCTTATTTCTATATAGTTACTAGTATTACTGCTATAATACTAGTTAGTATTGCTATAATATAGTATTATTTTACTATGCAATTATAGTCGCAAATATCAAATATTTTTCTTTCAGTGCGGCATCTAACAATAAGTAATGCGATTGCTCTTCGAAGTTTTCGCGCATCCAAACCCGCAGAATTTCGTGCAAATTAATTGAGATAAAACGCAGCGATGCTATGTAAGCTCTTCGAAGGCATCGAATCCACGTTTCATTATCGTCCTATTAAATGCCATGAATTAAGCTTCTCTTAACACTTCCTTATTGTATCTTGATAGATCTATCTGCGGTTTCCTGTGGCACGCGAAATCAGCTTTCCATCCGATAATTAAACGAGTCGCGTCCGCATCTGCGTTTGTCGCATAATATTACTAACGCGTTTATATATTACTAATTATTATTGGTTAATTTGATTAATAATTTTAAATTAATTTATTAACAGTTATAATTTTACCATTCCTTTCTCTATATTTTTAAAATTATATTACTATATAATACCTACCTAATACCAAGGAACAAAAATTTAATCAAATAACTAATAATTCATTCGAAAAAAAGTTGAAGAAATGAAAGTTTTCAGTTTGCTTAAACAATAGTTTGTACGATACTTATATAAAGCAAAAGTTCACATGAATGTATGATAGGTATATATAAATTATTAATTAAATAAGAAATTAATTAGAAGTCATTACTTGAAAGTTAATAAGAAAAGAAAGCGAAAGAGACAATTGAGGGAGACCGCGTATAGAATCTCAATAAGAATTATCATATAAAAGTTATCTATCTACACAATAAACATAGACAGTGTCAAACAAAGAATATAAAATTTTCTAAAAATAACGAATGCAAATAAACAATTACAAGAATCAACAATTTTGATAAAACTTATCGCAATAGATAATATTGAGTTGGGGAGACGGCTGGTCTAGTGGGTAGAGCGCTAGATTCGTAATCCGGAGAACCGGGTTCGAATCCCGCTAGGCCACTGAGAATTTCTCAGCAGAAATGCTGCCCCCCTCATCTAATAGCGGAGAGAGGTATCCCTAGATGGAAAAACTGGGCTCCGTCTTTCGGAAGAGACGCTAAACCGTTAGTCCAAAGGAAATGGTAATGGTAATGGATGAGATGGATAGGGTTGGGTACGTCCCTTCAAAACGCTCTTCAAACGCTCAGAAACAGGTTGCAGTTGGATAGGGTTGGGTACGTCCCTTGAAAAACGCCACAAGATATACTAGATTGTGAACCTTACGGGGATATACAATTAATCATTACATACAATAGATAATATTGAGTTATATTTTCGAATATTATATTTTTTCGAAATCTAAAGCTTGTTTTAAGCTAATGAATTGCACTATATTATTTATTTTTAACATTTAGATTGCCGCTAAAATTGATTTATGGTGTCGACCTATCAGAAAAATCGGAGTTTTTTATATCACTATATATTTTATGTGTTTCTATATTGCCGGCTTCGAATCTACGTTGAACGGCGTAATAGCCGCTTTATTAGTGGCAACAAACGTCTCGTTATCGCCGACGACTCGCGAGAATCTTCAGTCTCGGAAGACAAATCGTTAAATTGCAGGTACCTACATAAAGTCCCTTTCACGTCAGTTCCTTTTTCTGAGCGGGGCATCAAGCGGTCAAGTGAAAGTGACCCGCTTCGCCGAGTATAGGGGCACACGCGCGAGCATCATAGTCACCCGCGAATATAAATTGCAATTCGAATTCTTCGCCGAGCAGCCGGCAAAGGATCAGACGGGGTCGTAAAGAAGTGACGAAGAGAAATGACGAGCAGTCACTGTCATTGCGCCACCGAATTCGCGGACGCGCCTAATCGGACTCTACTCATCCCGCGAGACTTAATCCCGCGCGGCGAGATGTTGTGCAATCGGGTCTTAAATTGACCGAGGAAGATCCGCTTTTACTTCTCACGCGCTCGGCGCGGCGTCATCTACTTTGTCAGACTCGCAGGATTCTGTCTAGGGATTGCGGCGCGAAAATTCCCTCGCGGATGAAGCGCATAAGTTAGCGACGTTAATGAGATTCCATGTCACTCGCGCCTCTCGAATTTCTGACGCGGATTCTGAAAAGAATGGCGAGACTGCGACTAGCAAGTTTCACTTTAGTTTAGCGATGGAGCTTGAAGTCCGCTTGAGGTGCTCTTGGAGAAAATTGCGAAATATGGAAAATATCGATTATACTGGATCGCGTTCATAATTTAAAAAAAAAATAGTTTTGCGTCTACTAAGTGCGTGAACTTTGTTAGTAAATTATATAATAATAATATATGTGTAAATTTGAATTTCTGAATAATTTACCGTATTTTGCAAACTAATTGACTTGCATGAATTATATCGATAGTTTTCCGGCAGTCTCCGTTTTTTTGTGGATGACGGGTTAAAGCTGACATCCATGGTCAAAGATGACATAATCAGTGACAGTGTGCTTTGTATTTTCACAGAGTACAAATCGCAAGAAGAGCGCAAACATTTCATTAATACGACATTGACACACTTCGGATTATGAAATCTTCAATCGAGTCGAGCGCAAAATCAATTAATTATTCCTTAATCTTTACGACTTATCGGCGATCTGAGTGTTCTTGAAGCGCGTCTTCGCGAATGTAAAAGGATAGATCAGAGTAGCGATCAAACCTTTTATAGCAGTGTTTAATAGCCGAGAATAATATCGCGTTGTATTATTTTCCTTCTCTAATTAAAAGGATACTTACAGGTCGTCAATGGATCGAATGTAATTTTCAACTTAATGTTATAAAACAGAATACATTTTATTATAAAGCTCATTTTTTATTTTGTTTAATTTGACTTATTTTAAGATTATAATCAAGTTTTAATTGTTACACTAAAGAAGATCTAGAACTTAAGACCGAAACGTCTGTAATTTGTATCTATATTAAAGTCACTTTTTTGTATTTTATATCTCTTTATATGGCTTTAACAACGGCGTTTTGCTCTTATTTGCCTTATATTTTAAATTTCATTTATTATTTATTATTGTAAACACACTATTATCGAAGAGCAGCATGATAAAAATTCTGTCAGTAATTTTAATAAATTAAATGACAAGAGTTTTGTTAATTATTTTCACAAAAGTTTAATTCGCATAGAATCATGTATTTTTAATTGCTTATGACTGATGGAAACTAGCCACGCTTGAATAATTTTCTTAAGATAGTATATACTATTAAAAACCATCAGGGAGAATTTGTCATTAAAGCTTGACGTGACAGTGATTGGCTACCTGTTACGTCAAAAATAATAACCGACGATTAAATCTACCATTTATCAATTCTCGACAAACCCTGATCATCGAAATCAGCAATTCGCGCGCCTTTTCTCAAAACAGAACTTTTATTCACGAAGAGGATTATGCAATGTAAGATTGCAAATCTTCATACGGAATCAAAGTGCGAAACTGACGAAGAGTCAGTATATCTCGACTCTGTCATATCGCTCACCTCTCGCTATTCTCTGCTTAATGAATTCGTTCTCCTGAGGGGTCTCCAGGGATACGGCGTCCATACAATGACGACGGCAGATATTACGAGCATCCAGCCAGTCCACCTCGAGATTCCTGGTCGGCTGATGTTCCCAGCTGAAGAAGTACGAGTGTACGACTCCCCTGCCATCTCTGTATGTCGAATGACGAACGCCTGAAAAACAAACACAATAATCGATTATTAATAATATCATTAATCGCATATCTCATTATCTGACAATTGACTCTGCTAGATGTGACAAGTTTGTTGTCAATTCGTAGAAATCTATTACAACAGAAAGAGATATGAAAGTCTTTCATCTATTGTCGAAACAAATTTAACATGGTTCATCTATTTATTTAACCCTTAAAGGCTACATATATGAACCTCGCATATGGACCTTTGATCGCGTATAAAGCTGGATCTAATCAACTAAATCTTAAAGAGTTATATATGAAATAGGGGTAGAAAAGACTGAAGAATATAATAGAATTTAAAAAATTGCCAATAATTAATATTAAATTGTCCAAAAATTGTCAATTTTTGAAAAGTCTCAAGTAAATGACGATTGAGATTCTTATTTTTATAGTTATTATTACTAAAATATAGTGAAAATATTAGTATAATATAGTAAAAACATATATGCATAGATCTTTTAATTATGGTCATTTTCATCATGTTTATATAATAGTATATTTATATTATAGACTTACTATACATAAAACACAGGTTATAGTGTATAAAACCATTTGTATATATTTTAATAAATGCATATTAACCCTTAACTGGCACTGTGGGGTATTAAACGCCCCAGTCTAGTTCAGCTCTAATTTAAGCCCCCCTATAGTACGAAAATGGTACTAAAAAATGGAAGAGTTAAAATATAAGAGTTATGAATTTTTGAGTGAAAAATTTTATTTTTCATACTTAACATTACATTTTAACAAAATAACCTATGACATTTGTTAAAACAACATTCAAAGACTATCTTGGAATTTTTTCAAGTAAAAAAAATCAATAGCTTCCTCGCTTCAAGCATTTTAGTGGTGAGGTCTAAAACGGCCCCAGTGTACCAGCTATGCGATTCTGGTGAAGTGTGCCAGCTAAGGGTTAAAATTATGACAACAATAATGTAATATATTGAGTCAGCTATAATTTGCATTGTTAAAATTACTATAAAAATGTAGTTGGCACCGAAAATAACTAAAAATTATAGTAAAATTGTGGTAACTACAACTATTTTTTTCTCGCAGTGTATACGTTCATACAAATGTCTTAAAAAAAAAAAAAAGAAAAAAAACTCGTTAAATAAAGCTGTCAAACGATTTCAATTCATATCGCAAAGTCGCACTTAATTATAGAAGATCATAAATGGAGCAAATCCTACGCGCAATTATTTGATGAGTAATGCAAGCCAATTTACACAAAAGCGCGAGTTACGACACGAACGTATTCTAATGAATGAAGAGTATCCTGCAATCATTCTCTTTTTCTTTCTCTTTCTGTCTTTCTCTAACTACAGTTTCCAGCGATTTTTCACATAGTTAACCGTGCAGCCGCTAAGTTAGAGCGCGATTACGAAATGTCGCTGGAAATACTTACGGTTCGCGCAACTTCGCGGGTCAGGCAAGGCTAAACGACGTTGGGCACTCACGGCGACAACGCCGAGGAGGAGCAAGTAGATGGCCCTCATACTCCCGGACCTTGAACAGAAGAAGAGAACGTTCGTTTATAAGCGAATTACGCAACATGTGTTAGCATCAAATCTTTGGGCGATTTATTGGTGGATTTAATGATGTAAAGTAAACAGTCGTTTAGGTTTCCCCTCTGGACCCTAAAAGGTCTTCGAATAATTCTATAAACATGTAGCTATTTATCTCGTAAAATATTGTAATATTATGAAGTTTCACAAATTAAAATTTCACGTCTTTATCTGTATTTATAATATTCTTCCTTTATTTTATATTTTTGTCAAAGTAAGAAGTGTCTGATTGTTAATGTAATTGTAATGTAATTAGGAAGATTATTTTAGCTACGTATACGTAGCTAAATCGGACACCTCTTACTTTGACGACAATGTAAAATAAAGGAAAAATATCATGAATGCAGATAAAGACGTGAAATTTTAATTCGTAAAACTTATTCATAATATTATAATATTCTAATATAGAATCACTACATTGCTTTACACAGAATTTCTAAATGTGAGTGTTTCGAATTCTAAACCCATCGCCTCTAGACAAAATACGATCATTAATCAACGCAATGCCGCAATTTCGTGTAACGCGCGTTACATCCGCGATGCAACATGCCTGAGAGTGCATTCATGCATACGCTTAACGCAACGTGAGCGAGAATCATCACGATTATTACTGCAAAGACACATTCTGAAAAGCTGTGCAAAACTCGAAAAATTACACTGAGAAAAAAGTGCTTGGTATTTGCGACTAATTGCATAGTAAAATAATTATAGTTCAGGTTCTTATTTTTATAGTTATTATTGCTATATAATATTAGTAAAAATACCTAATACATAAAATAATTATATCCAAAAATCTTTTAATTGGTTATTTTCATCACATAATAGTAGTATATTTATAGACTTACTATATAGAAATCACAGATTAATGAAAAAAACTATGTATAATATAATACATGGTTGAATAAATTGCATGTTAAAAAAAACTATGACAACAATAATATAGTATTGAGTTCAACTATAATTCACATTGTTAAAATAACTATAAAAATGTAGCTGGCACCAAAAATAACTAAAAAAATTATAGTGAAACTGTGGTAACTGCAACTTTTTTTTCTCTCACAATTAGTGTATGCACTTCAGATACATCGTGAAAATATAATAATAAGTTCTTCTAAAAACCAGTTTTTGAAAAAAGCAAATTAATGTAAATGATATAATAAATCTATAATACATTTTTTTACATTTAATAATTAATTTATTAATATTATGTATATATATATATATATATATATATATATACACACACATATATATATGATATATCGATTAAAACACTGCGTATTTAGAAATTAATCTTACAATGAGAACCCATTTCGAAGAATCTGTCGCTAGAAAGAAGAACACACGTGTTCTAAATTCAGAAGAACAAAAGAACTCCCACACTTGGATAATAACAAGACTTCGTACTACTTTTTGTGTAACTACTTTTTGTATTAAACTTCTTCAACTTTTCGAAGTTTCGCGTATTTGTAATCACGAGAAAATCAGTTTCTTACTTATTGCAACGTTTAGTTTTGCTTGTTGGAAAATATACCAAAGATATAATTAGAAATTTAAGCCTATATAATGGAAAGCCTTGACAACAGCAGCTCCAACATACATGCTTTTATGCAAATGCTGATTACGTACAATTCAGGGCACTCAACAGAAATACCAAGCCACGTGTCGTATATCGAGGTAGTATTATGGAATCCTCAAGAAAGTCGACAATTCTTTGAAACGGGAACGCTGAACATTTGCCAACGGCATTGAATGTGTTCAGCAGTTCGAGGTTACGGGGTTACAAGGCTTTTATGATGCTCGCATGCGCTGAATTTGCAACCAATCCTAATTATCAAAAATTTTTTTTACGGTCTTTGCGAATTTTTTATGTAATTTTTATCGCCCCCATTATATGAAGAAAGAACTGATGAATTTACAATTGATTTACACATGAATTAAAATTAAACAACGAATTAAATTTAGGAATTTGACATCAAAACGTACATATATTTTTTCTGTGAAATATTTTTAAGGAAATATTTATACATATATTCTTGATGACTGTTTATTAAGAACAGTTCTCGTTATATCTCTTTTATAAAAATAATTATTTTACATAAAATGATATCGGCCGCTTTAAAAGATGGTATCGATTCGCAGAACTGTTTTTATAAATTATATATTATTAAAATATGGAACGTAACTTTCAATTAATCAGCGTTTCAACTCGATTCAGTTTTAAAACAAAACAAAACGACCAGCTAGCGGATCGAATTATAACTTCCAGATTGATCTCGTGCAATATATACGTAAGTGTTGACGCTTCGTGGATGGTTTTACTGATGACTGTCATCTATCACCAGGACAAATGCGAAGCGAACCACTTTCTAGGAGAGCGACACGACAAAGCCGTTAGCAAAACGCATTCATAGAGCAAGCGAATAAAAACCTTTCTATAGTTTCCCCTAATCATTGTTCCGATTGCCAATCTTCGGTTCGGACAGCAATCAACAGTACTTTGCTCGGTTTTAAAAGCTGTCGAAGAAAAACGAGCCGTACGTGTGTTTTCTCGCAATCTTTTAATTTATTTAACCTAAATAGACGTGAATGTGCTTTCAAGGAATCCTTCAAAGAACAATGCTTTCACATCAAATACATTCAAACTGAATAAAATAAGGAAACGTGATTAATTTCTTAACTGCATTATTAAATTAAACTCATTTTTATAATTTATAATATTAAACTTATAATAACGTAAATAAATATAAACTTAATTAATAATTATTTAAATAAATATTTATAATATTAAACCATATAATATTAAATATCGTTTTAACCCTCCGAGAACACATCGGGTCAATTTGACTTTTTTTTTTGCCAGAAAAACGTTTAGCCAAAAATATTTAAAAAAAAAAAAAAAAAAATTTTTTTCGTAAATTACGTTTTTTTCAAAAGTACAATCATGGGTCAATCTGACCCTACACACACTTTGATCGTCCACCATTTTAAATTGACGAGTGCAATCAGCTTGAAAAAATTTTCAGATGTACTTGGAACATTGTTAAATCAATTGATATAAATAAAAAGTACCGTTGGAATTATTTACATATTTAAAAAAATGAAAAAAGAATTTTTTTTTAAATAATTTTTTTTTGAATTTTTTTAAATATGTAAATAATTCCAACGGCACTTTTTATTTATATTAATTGATTTAACAATGTTCCAAGTACATCTGAAAATTTTTTCAAGCTGATTGCACTCGTCAATTTAAAATGGTGGACGATCAAAGTGTGTGTAAAGTCAGATTGACCCAGAGTGTTCTCCGTGAATGAAAAAATAGGTGTGTTCTCGGAGAGTTAACAATTTGATGAAGTTCAAGTAAAATTAAAACTTTTTTTCTTTTTTTAGATGGTTGTAAGAATGAGTGATTTTATCTATGAAGAAAAACTTCAATTTTCAGTTAAGTTTTCAAACAATTACTAATAGGAAGTAAAGATTATCGAGTTAAATGAAAGTTGACGTAAAGAATACTGCCAAAAGTTAAATGCTGAATTATTTATTATTTATTATCTAGTTTAACAAACTCGTATCTCTGACATAAGTACTCAAGAATAGTGTACGGTGATTTGAACTCGCTAAATGTATAATTCAACAGCATCCATATTCATCAGTCATCATACATCAAAGACCCGCGACTCCTTCTTTTACTATACTGCCAATACATTACGAAGATAATGAGCGGTTTTTCGTCGCCGAGATAAATGGAATTTTCGCATTATAATAATCATTAATATTTACATGACATTGATGACGAAACGCGACCATAAAGACAAGGGATCCGAATCATGATCCAATCAATACAGTTAAATCTCTCGGAATTGTTAAGGCAATCCTGGTGAAAAAAATTAATATTTTCTCAGAAATTTTCTAAGAATTTCTCATATTTTAGATTTATAAAAAATTCTAAAAAAATAAGATGCCAAATTTTTCAGATACTTTCAAAAATAATTGGATGAGAATTTTCGGAATATTTCCGTATTTGTACAGTAAAAATTTCTGATAAATTTCGCGGATTTTTTTATATTTATTATATTTAGATTTCTGCAAAGTTGTGTTGGCGGGAAAAATCTGAACTATTTTATTATTACTTTGTCTGAGTTTTTCTGAAAAACGTTCCAATTATATAAAAGAATCTTAAAAATTCTGAGAAAGTCTAGAAATTTTCATAGAAATTCTGATTAATAATATGAAAAATTCTGAGACATTTTGCCACCAGGGAATGTAAAATCATCCACCGTACATTTTCCTATATTCTTATTCAACTTGCGCGATAGAGCGACATCCTCCGACAACCCGTATCGTTTTCTTTGTGCGCAGCCGCTAATTAAGAATGGAAGCGTAAGAATTATTGTGCCGCCGTAATTAACGCACCATGTGACGTGACGGCATATGTACACTGCATCAATTAAATGTATATCGCGTGAAATGAAGTGTCCAGATTGAAAGTTAATAGCTCACTATATAGAATAGAGGTTGATGGGTCATGATGAGAGCTGCAGGCAATATTTAATGAGATAAAAACCGTGAATATAATGGTCGCTTCTGGCGAATGAGACCGGAGAAAGGATACAAACATACAAAGTCGAGTAAAGAATACATTAAATACATTGAAGATAAGACTGATGTTAACATCTTTTTCACGTATCCATTTAAATTAATATTTACTATTTACTTTCGCTCCATAATTTTACTTTTAAAACTCTTAAATCGGAGAGCCTTTCTCCTTCATACAGAATTGAACTAATATTCCGGAAAAAATACTCCATCTTTATATTTTATTATTATTACCATATTATTTCCATATACATATTATACATATTATTTCCATATGTATATTTTTCAAATAATCTTTATATTCTAATTATTTTCTATTACCATATTATTTTCATATATATTTTT